TCGAACCCCATGCACCAGTACAGGCTGGGGGGTGACCTGCTGGAAAGCAGCTCCGCTGAGAGGGACCTGGGAGTCCTGGTTGATGACAAGATCACCATGAGCCAGCAGGGTGCCCTTGTTGCCAAGAAGGCCAATGGTATCTGGGGTGCATTCAGAGGAGTGTGACCAGCAGGTCAAGGGAGGTTATCCTCCTCCTCTACTCTGCCCTGGTGAGACCCCACCTGGAGTACTGTGTCCAGTTCTGGGCTCTCCAGTTCAAGAAAGATGAGGCACTCCTAGAAAGAGTCCAGAGGAGAGCAACTAGGATGATAAAGGGACTGGAGCATCTCCCCTATGAGGAAAGGCTGAGAGAGTTGGGCTTGTTCAGCCTGAAGAAGAGAAGACTGAGAGGGGACCTCACCAACACATACAAATATCTCAAGGGTGGATGTCACCAGGATGAAGCCAGACTCTTTGCAGTGGTGCCCAGTGACAGGACAATGGGGCAATGGGTACAAACTGAAACATGCAGAAAAACTTCTTTACTCTGAGGGTGACGAAGCACTGGAACAGGCTGCCCAGGGTGTGTGTGGAGTCTCCTTCTCTGGAGATATTCAAGGCCTGCCTGGACAACGTCCAGTGTAACATGCTCTAGGAGAACCTGCTTAAGCAGGGGGGTTGGACTGGATGATCTCCCAAGGTCCCTTCCAACCCTTGTGATTCTGTGATTCTGTGATTTTTGCTCCCACTGTGTTTAGATGTTTTATCACAGCTGTAAGCGTTGTACCTAAGCATTATCCAAAATTCAAACTCTGAAAAGCTGCACTAAGACTTAGGTAGAGATTTTATCTTGAAGATTGTATCCCCACATCTGGAATGATAACCATTTTTTGATAACTGCCCCAACAGAAGTGCAGTCATTCAGTGAATCTATGTAATTAAAATGGGAATGGAGAGTACAGCAGGTGTCAAAAGCTGGCAGAAGACCAAGGGAAAAAGGGTTTTCCAACCACTGTGAAGACAATGCTATCGCAGAAGATCCAGAACGGACACTTCAAATCCCACTCCCCCCTAGGTACATCACA